TGAGCAAAACCAACGCAGCGCTGGAGAAAGGGGGCAGAAGCAGGAGAAAAGGGAGAGAAAAGGGGGATAGAGAGAGAGGCCTAGCTCTTGAGTGATGGTTTATTTCGGACTTCTAATTGGTAGGGGTGAGCATTTGGGACCAGTAGGGGTGAGCGTGGGTAAATATGGGTCAGGTATTTGCTCATACTTGTACTTGATTTGAATAGTAACAAATATAAGTTTTCAATATCCAATACTTGCTATTGAAAATTTATTCCCATCACTATAAGGAAACAGTTTTATTGTGATGGTAAAATTAGTCATAAAAATTAAAAATTAAATTTTTAGTCACAAATTATATTTGTATCTAAAATTTGGTTGGTCACTATCTGTTACAAATATTGAGTCACTAAAATTAATAGTAACTAATTTTACATTCGTGACAACAAATAATGATTTTAGTGATGGTAAAAATAGACACAATTACTAATATATTTGTAATGATTTTGTACGTCACAATTATGATTACTTGTGACAAATATAATTAGACACAAAAATGTACCACATTTGTAACCTTTATAATTCGTCTCAAAAAAAATTTATCAGTGACATAAATTTGGTCATTGATTCTGAATCATTTGTGACAAATCCTTTTTATCGCAACTAGATCTATCTTTGACAGAAAAAAAATGAAACAAATGCTAGCAATATCAATCACAATCAGGATTATTTGTGACAAAAAAAAAAAAAACTTGTTACAATTGATATTATCAATGACAAAATAAAAAAGTCACAAACTGAATGTGTGACAGAAGTTTTAGTCTTACAAGGCATATCCCAAAAAATATAAGAAGGGCATTTTTGCAAATTCAATAAACACTAGTATCTAATGATTCCGTTACTAATATAACAAATATAAAACAATCTCTTACAAAATTGGTCACTAGAAATTAAGTATATAATTGAATAAAAAATAAATCTTGAATTAAATAGGTATTTATTAAATAATTCCAATTAAAATTGCTTTTAAGATAATTAAAAATATAAAATTATATCCATAAATTTAAATACATTCAATTTTAACATTTTTGGAATTCAATTATAAAATAATAATCAAATCTTTGAATAAATAAAAATTTATTCAAAATAAAAATATTATTAAATAAAATTAATAATAACTAAGTTTTGTTTGTTTCAACTAAAATAAATCTAAAAAATAGAAATAACAAAATAACTCTAAATGGAAATGAAATCAATATCATTTTGATCCTTGTTTCACTTCGGCTTTGTACATTCTTGTATTCATTAACTTGATAATGCAAATCTTCAATCAAATTATGTAACTGGTTGATTGTATTGTCTTGCATCTCTATAGTCTTGCCAAATTTGAAACTTTCTTCTCTAAATCATCAGCATGTTTTGTTGCTCATTCTTCAAGTGCTTTAGTTAATTCTTGTTCCATATAGTGATTCGAAAGTTCTCCTATCCAAAGACCTCACGTATATCATCCTACTTTGAGTCATCCCAACTCCCATCTAAAATGTTCTATGAGTGGAATAGAAACTGAAGAAATCTTTTTGGCATTTTCCTCGTTAACAATTTGAAGTTGTTCCTATAGAAAAAATAAATAAATTTTTACAAAAAATAGCAAATGAACATACAAAAATGATGCAAACAATTACCAAAATTCTTTCCCCATCAGGAACTTTCCACTGCTTGTTTGCATTCAATCCTCTTGCTTCCCATACTTTTGAAGCAGAAGGCAATGTTT